GCGGAGCGGCGCAGGGGAGCGCCGGGGCCCTTCGCGGAGGTTCCGTGCCGATGCTGTGGTTTTCATTTCGTTAGTCGCGTTTCATTAAAGCTCTCCTCTCGGTGGGCAGCGCGGGAAATGCTGAGCGGAATCTCGCTGTTGCATAAACAAACAGTGGATATTTTATATGATTTAACTGTGTAGATAATTAGTTTTATTACATTCATTACCCCCTTTATGTGCTCCGTAACAAGTCGGCAATTAAAGTAACAAACTCATAAAGTCTTTATAGGGGGCATTTAAGCTCGCACAGTATTTGCCAGGCTAAGTAGTTTAATTCAAAGCTAGCGGCTGAGCACGGGGAATCTACAGGCTCCGGCGCTTCGCCCTGCTTTATCACACATTAAAAACATTCCGTAGCGGGACTTAATTACACCGGCGGCTGGGGGGTTATTTTGGGTTTTTTCTTTTTTTTGGGGGGGAGGGTGAGGGGGGGGATGTCACTGTGAGTTACCGCTGGGTAATAAAACAACGCAGAAGATTCTTGAGCGGCTGAGGATGCGGGTGATAGCTTTATGGCGAGGTCTGATAGTTTTATTGCGGTCGCATGTTGTACAATGTGTATTTGATAAAGAACGGCCTTTGGTGGCCCGTGGACACTTTTTGTGCACCGGCGAAATGAAAATAAATGTGAACACGGTTTTAGTGCGAGGGAGGAAACAAATTGCGAGCTCTAAATGGTTCTCCCTTTATGGACACCAGACAAGGGGAGAAAAGCGCTGCAAACATCTGTCTTCCGTCCCCCAAATCTAAAGGGCACCAAAGAATGATGTGAATCTAAGTGTTACTACAGCGGGGATTTGTCTTTATTTACCCGCGCTCTCATGAATATGAATACGCGTTCGGGGCAGGGAGGTGCCTCGCCCCCTCTCAAACAACACAGGGCATTTAAAACAAAAAAAAAAGGGGGGGGGGAAGAGAAAGAAAGAGTTTGTTTCACGAACTTGCTGGCAGTCCCAAGGACAATAAACAAGCGTGAGG